TAGTTCCCATTTGATTTGGTCTGTATTGGCATCTTAATATGTCAGCACATAACTTTGCCATAAAAGCTTTTCCTTTTAAATTTCCCTTGCAAACATTTAAATATGTGCATATGTATATTAATATAAATCCTAGTTTTGTCTAAGGTAATTAAACCTGATAACATTTATTATGTACTTTTATCCTTTGATAAGTGGTCTGTCATCTTTTCATATGTTTGATTATGTGTATTATGAAGGCTGTGGGTTTTTTTTTTGGTTTTTGGTTTTTTTTTTTGAGACAGTCGCACTCCGTTTCCTGGGCTAGAGTACAGTGGCGAAATCTCAGCTTACTGCAACCTCCGCCTCCCAGATTCAAGCAATTCTCCTGCCTCAGCCGCCCGAGTATTTGGGATTACAGGCGCCTGCCAGCATGCCCAGCTAATTTTTGTATTTTTAGTAGAGACAGGGTTTCACCATATTGGTCAGACTGGTCTCGAACTCCTGACCTCAGGTGATCTGCCTGCCTCAGCCTCCCAAAGTGCTGGAATTACAGGTGTGAGCCACAGTGCCCGGCCGGCTGTGACCTTTTAAAGCATTTCTCTTTCTGTGATGCACTACTTTCCTGAAAAGTGTGCTTCTGTGGTTATAACTGACTTTGCAATAGTAATAATTTGGAAATATTAAAACCTGAATTTTCAGATTTTGAATTTTTTTCTTTTATAGTAGAAATCCTGTTGTCTGTCGTGGTCTAGACCAAAAGTTTCTTAGATAACAAAAAGTCAGTAAACTCAGGACATCATTTTAAAAGAATGCCTACCTGCCTTATTTTAATATACGACCCATGTGTATTAAAAACCATTCGCCAGTCATTAGGCCAGTGCTTTTTTCCTTAGGTTATGAGTCCATTGATTGCCTTGGGACCACTTTTTTGACATGAACCACAACCAAAATACAATGTCTTCAATGAAAATAACACTTAGAAAAGCAATCTTAATTCAGAATACATCTAGATTTTTATTTTTTTTATTTAATCTTTTAAAACTGTCACACATACCTAATTTGAGTGAGTTTTTTTTTTCTCTTTTAGAAACTTACCTTTAGTTAGTTGGCACTGACTTTGTTTCATTGAAATAGCTTTCACATTCATATTTTGTCAGTTTATATAATATTATGTAATTACATTAATAAGCATGGGTTTACATCACATACAACCAGTGGTTTGCTAAGCAAAGAAGCTATATTCCCTCTTCGTACACATATAACAAATGCACGTGTGGGCATATTAAAAAATAGCGTTCTCATTCTTGTCACTTCTATAGAGGGAAAAAAAAATCTGTCAGAGTCAGTTCAGAGAGATTCTACTGTAGACTGTGTTTACCACATTTTAAAACTTAGGCACATTTGTCCATACATAGATACATGAAAGTAAAATGCAAAAAAAAAGATGAGTTGAGAAATCTACCTTACAAAATAAGACCACCTGAAAAGCTGTACCTGTTGCCATTCATATAAATAATTGTTTAAGACTGTTTTTGTCAGAGAATGAGAGAAAGTTTTGACTTTTTCCACTGGTAATTAAATATGAGAGGGAAAAAGGAAATATGAGGTGCAGCCAACTTGGAAAGCTGTTTGATGATAACTACCTGCTAAAGTTGAATATATTTGTAAGCTGTGATCCAGCAATTCCATGCCTAGGTAGGTACCCAGCAAGTGTGTGTGTGTGTGTATGTGATCGTATGTGGGTATCTATATTCATTAAAAGACATGTGCAAGAAGGCTTATAGCAGCATTCTTGGTGATGACCAAAAATTGGAAACAACCTAAATGTCTGTCAGGAGTAGAATGAATATATATGTTGTTGTGTACTGAATTAATTGAAGACTGTATAAGGCATTAAGAAAAGACAAATTACAACAACATGCAACAAATGGTGGTAAATCTCACAAAACCTAACGATGAGTAAAAGAAGTCAGACCAAGAAAACATGTAACATATGAAAATTGACATCATTTTTATGATGTTCAAAAATAGGCAAAAGTAAGCAATAACATTTGAAGTCAGAAGAGTGGGTACCTTTTGTGAGAGAGCAAAGAGGTATGACTGGAAAGGGAGCACAAGACAACTTTTGGAGCCTTGGAAATACTCTGTTTCTTGATTTAGGTGCCATTCTTTTTGAGTGTCTTCTCTTCGAATTGTACATTTAAGATTTGTGTACTTTTATTATATGTGGTATACTTCAAAAATTTTATCCAAAGAAGTGACTATCTCATGTAAGTAATATTAACTAGATAAGCTATATAGTAAAGACACAGAAAAATGAGCTGAACTCCACAAAAGGATTTGAGAAGGGCTTAATTAAGGAATCTATCAAAAAGGAAAATAAGACTTAACAACTTAAATTGTCCCATCTGTAGCTAATTTAGTTAGGATAACTAGATTCAGCCCCGTTTGTTGTATTTTACATACTTAGTACTTGGATTGTGTAACCACTAAGAATTATTGAATAAGCATATGATTATAAACCATGAATCATTTTATCCCAATCCCTTGAAAACTAATCTCATTTTTAAGTCAGGTTTTTGTTTGTTTGTTTTCTTAAATGTCAGGCTCTGTTCAGGATAAAATACTGGTTAAAAATTAGGACGGGCGCGGTGGCTCACGCCTGTAATCCCAGCACTTTGGAAGGCTGAGGTGGATGGATCACGAGGTCAGGAGATCAAGACCATCCTGGCTAACATGGTGAAACTCCGTCTCTACTAAAAATACAAAAAAATTAGCCAGGTGTGGTGGCAGGCGCCTGTAGTCCCAGCTACTCGGGAGGCTGAGGCAGGAAAATGGCATGAACCCAGGAGGTGGAGCTTGCAGTGAGCCGAGATCAGGCCACTGCACTCCAGCCTGGGTGACAGAGCCAGACTCTGTCTCAAAAAAAAAAAAAAAAATTAGGTAAAACTTTGGTTCATTGGACAGGAATACACTTCATTAACTGACCAGTTTTTATTTAATATTTTTATCCATATTTTCTACCTCTTTTGTTTCCTTCATTTGGAAGAAAAAATCATGGAAATATTTTGGAAGGTATTTACTCAATTTATATAATAGCCAACAAAACAAATACATATTAGAATAAGATCAAAAGAATGGAGATTTTAAACCATCCTCTTATGTAACTTGCTGAATTTTCAAGACAAATTCCTACTATTTCAATAGTGATAAAATATATGCTAGCGCAACACTTTATTTTGCAGAAGGCAATAGAGAAGAAATACTTAATCAGTTGCCGTAATTAATCATCTAATTCGTCGTGGGGAGTGAAACACAGATGCATAAAGCCTTGCTAAATGTGATTTCTCTCTTCAATTAAATTGTAGTTGTTTCCCTTGTATAATAAATACAGATGAAAAGTATTGATTTGGCAAGAGAACAGTATGCTTCTAAATTGTTTAATCATTAAGATAATCATTTTGAAAAACATCTATGTTCATTTATATGTAACTATGATATTTTAATATTCAGAGACCCAATAATTTCTACAAGGAAGAAGAATATTTGAAGTAATGTGTTTTGGCACAGAATAGTAGCATTGTCCAATATATATTCTGCTTTCTGTGAAATAAATTTTTGCCTACACATTGAAAATAAATTCCTGAAATTGGCTAAATCTGTTTTGTTGGTCTCTAGTGAGATATGAACTATAAAACCTAAAAGAAAAATTCCAATGAATGAGTTCAGTTCTTTTTTTATTGTTGGTTTTTTGCTGTTGCTGTTGTTGTTGTTTTGAGACAGGGTCCCTGTCACCCAGGCTGGAGTGCAGAGGTGCAAACGTGGCACACTGCAGCCTCCACCTCCTGTGCTCAAGCAATCCTCCCACGTCAGCCTGCCATTTCAGCCTCCCGAGTAATAGCTGGGGCTACAGGTGTGCACCACTGCGCCTGGCCAATTCTTGTATGTTTTGTAGAGGCGAAGTTTCACTGTATTTGCCAGGCTGGTCTTGAACTCCTGGGCTCAAGTGATCCTTCTGTCTCAGCCTCCCAAAGTGCTGGGATTACAGGCATGAGCCATGTCACTCAGTCAAGTTCAGTTCTTAAGGATCAGAATTTTATGTGCACTTTGCCAGCCTCTCACCGACTTCTGTCACCTGCTGTACTCTGTGCCACACTCTGTGCCAGTGCAAGGTAACAGTGGCTGAATATGGAGAATGAGCAGTGGGTGAGGGATAGCATTCTCACAACATAATGCCATGACTGACATTTCTGAGTCTTGATCTCCCTCTGCGATGATAAAGCAATTGAAGTGGAGAGCCATGTTGGTGGGTAACCTGGTCCTTATTACTGTGGATTTGTTACTATTGAGGAAAGAGAGAACAGCAAGAACCAAATGCCTCTTCTTTCACCCCAGCTTTAATCATCAACCATGGCCAGCTTGGGGAGAGAAAACTGAAAAAATAAGCCAAATTACAAAAGGTATAAATAGGAAGTAGCCACTGGATTGGAATCCTAAAGGTAGAAGGAATAAACAATATAGAAGATGGCCATGTTGCTACATTTACATAACTTCATATTAGCTTCTTTGTATGTTGTTTTGAAAATAAAAATACTCAGCGTGCATGTGTGTGTGTGTTTGTAAGCACCTCAGTAGTAATTATTGTCAATTGAAATGACTACTGAAGTAGTCAGACAACCTGATTAGTGACCTAGAAACCTCAAGATTTTGCCCACAAAATAAAGAGTATATAAATAATTTAATTTGATTACCATGTAACAGGGTTGCTGTGATAGATTAATTAGAGGGAAAATGTGTGTGACTCTTTTGTCTATGATTGAGTATGGTAAAATTTAAATTATTCATACTACTTTCATATTATTGAAAAGTGGTGTTATAATTTTCTTTAAAAGATATACATTAAATACCAATGTCTGCCTTATAATCTGTAGTTAATAGCTTTGAATAAATTCATGGAAATTTAATTTTTTAGTAATGGTATATCAAGAACAATTAACATTATACTGTTATTCTTCTATTAGGATTTGGAACTTGGAAGGCGTGCAAACAGCTCATTTTGTTCTGCATTCTCCTGGCATGAGTGTATGCTGGCATCCTGAGGAGACTTTTAAGGTTATTGTTTATAATTTAACTCTCTTATCAAATTGAAAAGACATATAGAGATATAAGACATCACATACATTGAGGAGAAAGAGCAATGATTTTTCCCATCTCAGAGGTACTAATCAGCACAAATGCATTTGGACTGTACTAATCAGCAAAAACGTATTTGGGTCAGTCTAGAAACCTGTACTGTAGAAGTTTCTCTATAATTGTTAAGATTTTTATTTGGCAGCCATCATCCATAATTGGCATTTATTCAAACTACACTTTTCCTACTCTTTAGTGGATGTCAGTGTAAAAACTGGTGTTCCAACAATCTAGTAGCAGTAGGCAGGGATTTTTTTTGTTTTGGTTTTTCTTTTGTTTTTGCTTTTGTTTTTTTAAACAGGGTCTCTCTCTGTCACCCAGGTTGGAGTGCAGTGGTGTGATCTTGGCTCATTGCAGCCTCTGCCTCCGAGGCTCAAGCAATCCTCTCACCTCAGCCTCCTGAATGGCTGGGACTGTAGGCACGTACCACCACACCTGGCTAATTTTTTTGTATTTTTGGTAAGGCTGGGGTTTTGCCATATTACCCAGGGTGCTCTCAAACTCCTGAGCTCAGATGATCCACTCACATCAGCCTCACAAAATGCTGGGACTACAGGCATGAGCCACCATACCTGGCCCAGTAGGCAGTTTTTTGTTTTTTTTTTTTAAGTTACATCATCCACCCTGGTGAGCCCTAGTGTGAACAAACATTAGTGGACGAAGGCAAATTTGTCTTAGCTACAGTAGTGTTCAATTCCTATTCAAGATAGAGCTTTCTAAAACACTAAAAATACACTACAAGTTCTTATTATCAACTACCCTTAATGCTGATTCACTGGGAAGATAGGAGCCATTAAACAAGAATTCTCTCATTTGCCAGTGTCTTCTCTTCATCATCACTGTAGTTATTGTATGTTTCCCTAGAATCTGAGAAGTTACTACAGTCATCTTTCTTAAAGTTAATTCTTCATCTGTTCTCTAAAGTTCATGGCAGTTCCTTAGACTCCCACAGTCCTCTAATGTCTTCATACTTCTTTTTTTTTTTGGGAGACAGAGCCTGGCTGTCACCCAGGCTGGAGTGCAGTGGCACAACCAACTGACCTTTAATCTGGTAGTTACCAAGCATGGCCAACTTGGGATCATGCTTGATATTTCATTTCCAGTAACTCTAGCATTCGTCATTCACTGCAACCTTCGTGTTCCGGACTCAGGTGATCCTCCTGTCTCAGCCTCCCAAGGTGCTGGGACTACAGGCATGCACCACTACACCCGGCTAATTTTTGTATTTTTTGTAGAGACAGAGTTTCACCATGTTACCCAAGCTAGTTTCAAACTCCTTGTCTCAAGCGATCTGCCCTCCTCGGCCTCCCAAATTGCTGGGACTACAGTTGTGAGCCACCACACTGGCCATCTTCATGCTTGTTCTCTGTCGACTCTGTTCCGTCCTCAAGTTTGCATGAGAAGATAAGTTTCACTAATCATAACAAGCACGTAGTGCTTAAATATGACAGGTCCATAGTCAGCATTTAATTATGTTAGCTTATTTAGTCCTCATGGTAACATGAGATAGGCACTGTGATTATCCCCATTTTACAGATAAGGAAACCAAGGTGCAGAGAAATTAAATAAATTATCCAAGGTCACACAGCTGGTAAGTGGAAGAATTGGCATTTGAACTCATGCCTCCCAGCTCCATAGATCTTACTCTTAAAAATTCCCTTTTTCCACCTCCCCTTTAAATTTTAAACTATCTTCATCACACCTTTTATTTCTGAATGTTTGAATCCATCACTTGTACCTTTTAACTTCATTTCTTCTTTTCCCATCCTTTGGTCTAACACCGTAATCTCAGTCAGTCTCCACTATTCTCTCAGAAGGTACCAGGGATATTTTCAACACATCCCATGGCCTTTTCCTTCATTCTTATTCTCCAGCCAGTGTTTTACACTGCTGATCACCTCCTTCTTGAAATGCTAGTTTGATTTTTAAAGCCACATTATCTAAGTCCTTTTGAGCAACTTTGCATATATGTTCCCTTTTTCTTTATACTCTGCCAACTTTTCTTTCACCATATGTGAATTGCTTCAAGGGTTAATTCTCACTACACTGTACCCTTTATTGTAATAGGGAATAAAAGAATGAATAAAGTCCCTGCTCTTAAGTTGTATACTGATGTATAAGGAAGAAAAACATGTAAATACAGCAACACAAATAAGTTTTAGAATCAAAAAATCTATTAAGTAGAATGATGACATAAAGAAGGATTAACCAAATCTTCTCACAGCTTTCACAGAGGAGATAATCCCCAGACTGTGTGTAAGTGTGTTCTCTGAACCCTGGGATTTCATAGAAATTTGTTTCAGGCCCATTGAGTCTTTTCATCAGTAGAATTATACTCTGCATATGTGCATGAGTGAAATGTTCTAACTTATTAAATTGATAGGTTTATTTCTGAATCCAGTTCCTAAATTTTGTTTTATGCCTACATTTCTCCCCAAGAGCAGTCAGTCTACTTAAATTAAAACACAGTCACAGTTTCTACCAAAATGTTAATATCACCACATATAACTACAATAAACTGCTTTGTAAAAACTATGACCTGCATGACAAATGAGAACATTTATTATAACTTCTATCCCAAAACTTACATCTTAATGCTTAATTTCTTGCTGTTATTTTTATCTCTTTCTTCCATATGCTTTAACTTAATTTCTGTTTTTCTCCTACTTATCATTAAAATTTCACCTTACCCCATCTCCTTTCTTTTATGATGTTTCCATGACTTCAGAATGTTTGAAAGTCCCTGTTCTAAATCACATAAACTCAGAATCCTAAAATTACCTTTAATTCCTTCTTTCCCTATACACAAACTATTCCAGGTCTTTTAATTTTTCCTTCATTTTCACTAACTCTAGCATTCTTCTCTTCATTAAGGTGCATTCTCCCACTTTCTGTTCTCACGCCTAACTTGCCAAGCCTTAGCTTGTTTCTAAATTCCGTGGTTCTTTACTCTTTGATTCTTCTTGCCTACTGGACTAAGAGTCTTAGAATATCAGTTTCATCCTATCACTGCTAAACTCAGACACCTGAAATACAGAGAAGTGGCTAAGAGTGTGGATTCTTCATTTAACTGCCTGGAGTCAGATCCCAGTTTCACCACTTACTAGCTATGTGATCTCTGACAAGTTACTTAAACTTTCTCTCACTGTCTTCACCTCATCTTATAAAATGGATATATAAGATTAAATGTGCTAACATGTGTAAAATCCTTTAAAAAGCACATAGTAAGTACTCAGTCAATTTTAGCTACTGGTCATTGTTGATACTATCATTGCAGTGGTAACAAGCCCAATCGCTTTCAGTGCTCTGCCATTCGTTTTCAGTGCTCTACAATCATTTCAGTGCTCTGCAAGCCCAGAATTGTTGGCCTCATGCTTGGCCTTGATGAAAATAAGGCAGCTAGAGAAGAGAGAGATGAGTTCTTGATTACCTATCTCATAGAATGCTTATGAAAATCCCAAGAGATATAAACCACAAAAAAACCATAAAATCAGGAGAACACAAAACAAATGGCTAGAATTTAATAGTAAAATATATAAAAGTCAAGAGACCTCCAAAAACTAGGCTCCCAAATCCAATAAGCCTCAATAGGAGCTAGGATTTCAATGCATACTAATAACAGGACCAAGGATTTAGGATGTCACAGGATCAAATAATTGGGACTGAGGACATCTCAGTCTCTACCCTAAGAAAAAAGAGGTTAAAGAGTAGCTAAATGTGGCCGGGAGCAGTGACTCACACCAGTAATCCCAACACTTTGGGAGTCCGAGACAAGTGGATCACTTGAGCTCAGTAGTTGGAGACCAGCCTGGGCAACATGGTGAAACCTCATCTCTACTAAAAATGCAAACATTAGCCAGGTGTGGTGGTGCTCGACTGTAGTCTCAGCTACTCTGGAGGCTCAGTTGGGAGGATTGCTCATGCCAGGGAGGTCAAGGGTGCAGTGAGCACTTCAGCCTGGGCAACAGAATGAGACTCTGTCTCAAAAAAAAAAAAATAGCTAAATGAAATAGATTTAACATTTGTTGAATGCTTCCTATTTGCCAGGAACTGTACTAAGTACTTGACATGTATTCTCATTTAATCCCCACAAAACACTACAGGGACAGTACTAGTATTCTATTTTGTAGATGAGAAAACCGAAGCACCAAAAGGTAAAGCATTTTGCCCAAGGTCACACAGTGACAGATTTGAACTCAATCTGGTTCAAATATGACAATGTTCTATGCCACTTAAAGTATTTCCCCCTTGGAAATTCACAATGCATGGTGTTGTTTATAGTTCTGAAAATTCCTAAAGGAAGAATTCCCCATGTGCCATTTTTAGATTCAGTTACTCCCAAACTCAATTTTTCTACCCTATCTGTTCTTTCACCCAAAAAAAGATTTATTGTCATAATTGAGCACAGTTATACAGACAGCAAATAACAAAAATTTTGTGTTAGAAGTGAGTTTTTAATTTGACTTTAACCTATAATAGCCAGTGTTTGTTGAGTGCCTGCTTTGTGCCAAAACAGTTCTAAGTGCTTTATATTTACTAACTCCTGCCGTTCTCCCAATAGTCCTATCAAGTAGATACTCTTATTAGTCCCTTCTTAGTGATAAGAACCTGAAACACAGAAAGGTAAGCAGTTTGCCCAAGATCTTACAGCTCCTGAAGGTGGAGCTGGGCCCCATCCAAGCACTCTGGCTATAGAGGCTGCACACCTGCTTACCATGCTTTACTGCTCCTAGTACCTTCGGACCAGGCTCAGGTAGTCTTAGCCCTTCCATAGTCCATAAGTCATACCTGAAATTCGCAAGATCTTTCAAGTCACTCTCAAAATATCAAATATTTTTACTAGGTCTTGGTAAATCTTCCTCGTTCTCTTACCTTTTCTGATCCTTCCCCACTCCAGACTATAGCACACTAGACCACTCACCAGTCTTCAGCAGCCTAGCCTTGTAGCAAGGAACATGTGTGCACTGTAGTTAAACAGACTTGAATTCAAATCCAGGCTCCATCATGGGCTAGGGTTGATACCTTGAACAAATCACATGAATCACTTTGAGCCACAGTCTCATCTGAAAAATGGGATTAACAATAGTAATTTCCTCATACAGTAGCTTAGGGGATTAAATAAAGCAGACATGTAAAGCTCTCACCTCAGTGTTGTACTTGTTTTTGTTGTATGTTTGTCATTGACCTCATTGTATTTATTGTTAGTAGCATTAGTATTATCTTAACATTTGCCTGTTCTTAAAGAATCATTTTTGTTTTCTGTTTGTTTTGTTTTTGAGGCAGGGTCTCACTCTGTGGCCCAAGCTGGAGGCAGCAGGACAATCAAAATAGAAACTGCAGTTTCTATTTCCCAGGCCCAGGTGATCCTCCTGCCTCAGCCTCCTGAGTGTCTGGGACTACAAGCACTTGCCACCTCGCCTGGCTAATAAAAATAATTTCAAATTCCACTTCTTCTAAGAATACTGTAATTCCAAACCTTGTCTGTATTCTGGAATAATTCCTTTTTGTACTCTAGAGCATTTTGCCTTAAATTATTGTCCGATTTTTTCATAATTCTCTTTTCTAGATAGAAAGTTTCTTGAGATCAAGGAATATGTCCTTTATCTTTGACTTCTGTTGGAATTAATATAGTGTTTTGTGTATGTTTGTATATAGTAGATCTTCATTATTCACAGATTTTGCATTTTTGAATTTCCCTCCTCACTAAACTTTATTTGTAACCCCAAAATCAATACTCATAGCACTTCCTTAGTCACAGACATACGCAGGGAGCACAGAACAACAAAAGGTTTGAGTCAGCTTATGTGCACTTGCTCAGCTTAGGTTGAACAAGGTGAGCTCTGGCTTCTTATTTTAGCTTTCATACTGTAAATAGGTGTCTTTTCCTCGTCAGTTTAGTGCCACATTTTTTAACATTTTTGTACTTTTTGTGGGTAATTTTACTGTGTAAAATTTTGCTGTGTAAAATCATCCCCAAGCACAGTAATGTAGTGCTGTCTAGTGTTCTAAGTGCAAGAAGGCTGTGATGTGCCTTATGAAGAAAATAAATATGTTAGGTAAGGTTTGTTTAGGCATGAGTTATAGCGCTGTTCATGGTGAAGTCTATATTAGTGAATCAGTATATATTAAGATATCTTTAAAAAGAAACACAGTTTTTAAAAGCTACATATTGATCAGTCATCAAAAAGGTTGTGACCACAGGCTGGCAGGGAACCTAACTGTGTATTTCCCTAATGGTTCAGTATTCACTAATTGAGTGTTTGCAGCAACTTTATAACAACAAACTACCCTGAATAATTGACTATCCGTATGTGTGTATAAAATAGATACTCAGTAAAAGCCTGTTAGATGAATAGTGGAATAAATGATGTTTTATGTGTTTAGGAAAGTACAAAAGTACATCCTTAAAGAACAATCACATTTTAGCCATACAGTAACTTTTTGACTCTGATATAATTATCCTCCATTTTACAGATAGAAAGCTAACTCCAGGTTACTCAACAGATTAAATGGTACAGCTTAGGATTTTTGATGCCAAATCCCACATTCTTACCAATCTACCACTACTACTTTACACCCTCAAGGATTTTTCAACTAAATAGAACCAGAATTAAAAGAACACTGTTTAAAAGTAAGAACTTTACAGAGATGTAGAGAGTGGAAAAGCATTTTATTCAGGCACCAACTATTCATGCACTTAGATACTTATAGCAATCTCATACCTTATCTCCCACAAATGGGTATACCAATGCCATGCTTCCTTGAGATTAAGAAAAATTTTTTCACATTTTATTATTTTGTAAAATTGGAATTCACATTATAATTAATTTGTGCATTTGATAAAGTATTTCACACATAAAACTTATCAATGTATTAAACATCTTAAGTCAATGGTATCTTAGAATAAAGGAAATAGTGAAGTAATAGCTACTATTTTTTGAGTGGGTGGCTACTATTTGTCAAGCATTACATTGAGGTACTTTACACACATTACTATTTAATAATCACAACAATCCTGTAGCCATTCTTATCCTCCCATCTCCATTTTAGAAATGAGAAAGCTGCCAGTCACATGGCAGTCACTCAGCTTATAAGTGAAGGAAGCGGCCTGTCTGTGCTCTTTAACTCTGCTGCCCTGCCTTCCATTCTAGAAACAAACTTGAGTTGCGTAAGTATGCGTAACACATAAATGTCTGTCTCTCTTGAGAGATACATACTTAGGTATTCTTTCTAGACAACATAACTAACTTACTTAAAAGTAACTTTTCACAGAAGGAATTGTTAAATTGATCTCTTCTTAGTGACCATACATCATCACTTAAAATTCTACCAAATCTCGAACCTTCTTTTAAAAAAAAAAAAAAAAAAGATGGAGTTTCGCTCTTGTTGCCCCGGCTGGAGTGCTGTGGCGCGATCTCGGCTCACTGCAACCTCTGCCTCCCGGGTTCAAGCAGTTCTCCCGCCTCAGCCTCTTTAGTAGCTAGGATTACAGACTTGTGCCACCACACCCAGCTATTTTTTTTTTTTTTTTTTTTTTAGTGTAGACGGGGTTTCACCATGTTGGCTAGGCTGATCTCAAACTCCTGACCTCAAGTGATCTGCCCGCCTCAGCCTCCCAAAGTGCTGGGATTACAGGTGTGAGCCACCACACCCAGCCAAATCTTGAATCGTTTATCTTGCCAGTTTTCTCTAAGGTTTTTTATATTCTGTGGAGATTTTTACATAGCCTCTTACTTCCTTTATATTTGATCTGCCATCTGTAATATAGGTTGAGGATCCTTATCTGACATTCTTGGAACTAGAAGGGTTTCAGATTTTGGAATTTTTTGCGTTTTGTAATATTTGCATATACATGAGAAATCTTGGGAATGGGAGCCAAGTCTTGATATTCGCTTATGTTTCCTGTATACCTTATACACATGACCTGAAGATAATTTTATATAACTTTTTAAAATAATTTTGTGCATGAAACAAAGTTTGTGTTAAGTGCTTATATGTGGAATTTTTCACTTGTGGCATCATGTTGGCACTCAAAAAGTTTTAGTTTTTGGAGCATTGCAGATTTTCAGATGAGGAATGCTCAACCTATATATTGCAAGTGTTTACATTTTACCGTACAACAGTGAATCTCTGCTGATACTTCAGGTATAGTTAGTGAGATAAGTGATTGAGTTTCTTTTTATTTTTCTGTCTTACAGCTAATGGTTGCAGAGAAGAATGGAACAATCCGATTTTATGATCTTTTGGCCCAACAGGCTATTTTATCTCTTGAATCAGAACAAGTGCCATTAATGTCAGCACACTGGTGCTTAAAAAACACCTTCAAAGTTGGAGCCGTTGCAGGAAATGATTGGTTAATTTGGGATATTACTCGGTCCAGGTACTTTCTTGATATGTTTGTCTATTACAGAAAAAAAAAAAGGCAGTAACTATTGCTAAATGATCCACTCGTCCATCCTGTTATACCTGAGACTACACTGTCAAGCGAAAACAAGTCTCTCCTATAGAAGGCCAGAGCTATGGATTTTTACATAACATAAAGTTGCTATCCAGATTTACTCTGGGAGTAACCCAGAAAGGACAGTGCAAAAGAGGAAATCTTGGATCTGTGCAATGTTTACTTATATTGAAAAATAAGAAAAACACCGACCCTGTTGCATGATGGTTCCCTGCAGTGGTTCTAAGTCATGTCTTTATTGTACTTCATCTGTTTTAACTGATTGCTTGTTTAGGATTTATTATAGTTTAAACACATTGGACATTCTGTCCTATAAAGAGAAAATACCGTTTAAACCTTAAGTTCACCCACTTGAGTCTAACACATAATTCATAAAATGCAAAATATTATCTTTTAGTTATCCTCAAAATAAGAGACCTGTTCACATGGATCGAGCCTGCTTATTCAGGTAATGTACCATTTTTGTCAGAGCATGTGATTTGATCTTTTGATGTCGTGCTGTGCCACCACTGGGATACTTTTGTAGTTCTCTTCTTTGCACTGAGTTTTTTTTTCCCTGATTACAACTAAGTCATCGATTGTGTCTTTTGGTCTAGACAAGGAGTTGATTTGTTTTCCAAATATTTTCTTTACACAGAAAAACATGTAACCACTCCACCACTACCACCCCAACAATTTGGAATATATTATGCTTCCTGATTGTTCTGTGCTGTTAAGGATGTAAATGTAGGGGAGCCCATATTCATGTATATAAACTTTATTATTGTGTGTTAATTGAAACCATGCTAGATAGTACATCTCTGCGATGTGTTTTTGCTTTTCACTTAAATTAACATACATGTCTACCTTGTTCTTTTTCATAATACTCCATTGTATCGTGTGGTCATTAAGCTATTATTTCTGCTTTTTAAGGAACAGCAAAACTAAATGAGAGACTAAAACCAGTGAAATTTTATTATATGCTATATTCCAATATATTGGGGATATAAAATATCCCCAATAAAGTTGTAGAACTTAGAGATACCATTGTTGAGAATAAAATACATTCGACTAAATGTAAGAATGCCGTGGATCATAAGAGATATCCTGACTTCAGAGATGTGTGAACAAATATACACCAATGAGCGAGTATACATCATTTTTAAAATCAATGAGCTATGGTACTTATAAGTCTAGAGGAGGTAGTCTCAGGGCTTGTTTAGCAGCTCATCACTGTCATCAAGAAAGAGCTCAGACCCTTTTCATCCTTTCCCTCTGCTATTCTCAATGGCAAGGATTTGGGACTTGTTGCTTCATAGTCACAAGATGGCTATGAGAGTTCCAGGCATAAGAGATGAACTCCATTTGCCGAAGAATTAAACAAAAAAAAAGTAAGAGGAGAAGAAGGAACCCTCTCCTTTTATGGGAGATTGCTATGACTGCCTTAAACTAATTATGTCTAATCCCCTAGGGCTGGACACACTGTGCCCTGAACAAAGTTGGGGTTCAGTTAGCATAGAAAATGGGCAGAATAACTGTCGTATTTGATACCTTATTTGTGTCTTCTACCACACTGTTACCCCTTTGGTTGTGAAAAAAAGGATTGTATTAACCTTGTGTGACTTTGGAACTTAATGAAATGACACAAAATAAGCACTTCATAAATACTTAAAAGTATGAGAAAATATTTATGGAATATTTTCCTCGAATTCCCAGTCTAATTGTAAAGACATATTAACAAATTTAGCATTATTAAAATCACTGGTTTTATACAAAAAGAAACCTGTTTCTGGCTAGGTGCTATGGCTCACACTTATAATCCCAGCACTTCAGGAGACCAAGGCAGGAGGATCACTTGAGGCCAGGACTTTGAGATCTACCTGGGCAAGATAGCAAGACCTGATTTCTACCAAAAAAAAAAAAAAAAATTAAAACTTACCTGGGCATCGTGGTACACACTTGTAGTCCCAACTGCTAGGGAGGCTGAGGTGGGAAGATCACTGGAGCCCAGGAATTTGAGGCTACAGTGAGTTTTGTTAGCACTTCTGCACTCCAGCCTGGGTGACAGAGCAAGACCCTGTCTCTTAAAAAAAAGAAAAAGAAAAAACCCGCTTTGGAAAAGCTTGTCGTTATCTATAGGACACAATACTTAATTTTATGCTTCCTTGTTTCACAGGTGGTCCACAATTAGTGAAAATCTGTTTGCAACCACTGGTTATCCTGGCAAAATGGCAAGCCAGTTTCAAATTCATCATTTAGGACACCCTCAGGTAATGTGGAAATGTTTTGTAACATATGTGCTTTTCTTAATTTGTGTTTTTGACTTTTCCACTCATAGCCCCAAATTTGTAATTTGTTAACTAAAGACATTTATGTTTGTTATCTGCTTAAATTGCAAGAAAAGGTGGTTCATTTGTTTTTGTTTTTTATATGTGTGTGTGTGTGTGTGTGTGTGTGTGTGTGTTTTGATGTTTGCATTACCAGTGACAACAGGTTTTTTTGGCCAATATTCATGTAAGAAGCTTTTTATTTCTTCTGTCACTTTTATATTTTCTTCTTTATTTAAATACATTAATTTTGCTTGTTTGGTTGGTGTAGACTGCAAAAATGGAGTCTGGATTGTACCAGTTATTCATACATGGATTGTATCCCATGTTCCAGCTGCATATCAATAATGTGTATTTCACCTGTAAGGGGGCATATTTTTAAATTTTGTTTCTGCTACAAAGATAAATTATCAATGCATTTTGTATTTTTGCAAGTCATTTTTATTTATTAATTTTGGGGACTTACTGTGCTTCTTTAATTCTTCACATATTTTATAGCCCATCCTCATGGGTTCTGTAGCCGTTGGATCTGGCCTGTCCTGGCATCGAACTCTCCCTCTGTGTGTAATTGGAGGAGACCACAAGCTGTTGTTTTGGGTGACTGAAGTATAAAGTTTTCTTTGTACCTTAGATTCACAAACTTTGTATTTTTAGTACATATTTTGAAGAATTTCTATAGTACATATTTTGAAGAATTTTTATATCAAATATACCATATACTTTAGAAAATGTCTTAGTTGCTTTTATTAAATAAAATGTGAATGATTTGAAAAATTATTTTTCTACTCTGTTTGTGTGTGTGTGTGTATATATATATTTTGTTTTTAATAATCTTATAAAATCATACATTGATTCAGCAACTGACCTCCAGAGAAGAGATGACCAAGGAAAAATAATGCTTTTGAGTTTATCAGAAAAGGAATATTTAAAGTGTACCTATTTTCTGTACTTTGAGTGTATGCTGTTTTTCTAATTCTCAGGGACACATTTATCAAGAGAAAAAAAGGCCAGGTGCAATGGCTCACACTTGTAATCCCAACTCTTTGGGAGGCCGAAGGGAGTGGATCACTTGAGGGCAGGAGTTCAAGACCAACCTGGCCAACATGGTGAAACCCTATCTCTGCTAAAAAAATAAAAATTAAAAAATTAGCCAAGCATGGTTTGGAAGACTGAGGCAGGAGAATCACTTGAACCTGGAAGGCAGAGGTTACGGTGAGCCAAGATCGTGCCACTTCACTGCAGCCTGGGCGACAGAGCAAGACTATCTCAAAAGAAAAAAAAAAAATCAAAGGAGAAAAAAATATCTTAGGGTACTCCGGAAGTGGTTGTTGAGTGTGTGTGTGTGTGTGTGTATATATATATGTGTGTGTGTGTGTGTGTATACTCAATGTAAAAAATGGTTTTCAGTTTCTTAAATATGTAATTGATTATATTACTTAACCCTGTTTATTATATGCAGATTCCTTTGGACTAGGTGTTTTAAGAGTCTTAGAACATGTGGTATATGGGATCAAAATGACTTCTAGTGTATCCCTTTAACAGCCTCCTTTTTATGAATCTTCACTGTTCTTACCAAGAAACTTAAGTGTTTTTGAGATGGGACCTATTGGCAGTGGAACCATGTTCACCCTCTCAAAGATCATTAAAATCAACATTATCTAAGACAGCTGTATCACATTTTGGGGATACATCATGGTACAGTCAGAAGCATATAAAATTATGGTTCTGCTTGTCAGTCACATACAGAATTCAATACATTTTGACAAACTGCCCATTCCTGCAAGTTAATACCCTCTTTGAAGCTTCACTTCCTCTTGTAAAGTACCCATAGAAATCATTGTTTTGTGGAGTTGCTGTGAAGATTAAATAAAGGTGAATGAAAGTACCTAGTATGTGTCTGTCACACGGTTCAGAGATGTATAGAAATTATTTATTTCAGAGATGAGTAGGTCTTATTTTTGAGGTTTTAGAGATTTATGTTTAATGCCAGTAAATATTTTTTACTGCAGTTTTCTATTCGTAAGGTGTCTTAAAATAATTATAGAATCAAGAACATGATATTTTTAAGAGATAGGAGAATGTTCCAGGTAATTAAAAGAAAGAATTCAGTGAAATTTTATAATATGTAGATGTTTGGGTTCAACTTTTATATGCTTTAAAGTACAGATGAAAAATTTCATAGCAATTTCCTAATTTTTTTAATACAGTTAAATATTATAACCAAATGATATAAATGGTTTTGTTTACCCCTTCATAATAAGATTTTGAACTAACAAAGTAAAAAGCAAAGAGCAAGGAATTTTGACATGGTTCTCTTTAAGACTCTCTGTGATGGGGCAAGGATTCCTAAAAGCATCAGGATAGCCAAAGCGCTGTCAATAGTGATTCTTATAAGAATTTGTCATTTCAGGATGTGTCCAAGAAATAAAAAAGTCACCTCTAAGGCCAGTGTATTCAAAAATTGTTGTCATATACTTAGAAAAATTGATGTATGAAGTGGGTGGGTTTTTTTTAGGGATGGAAATTAGGGAGATGATTATGTTGGGCTTGGGTGTATAAGAAATGGATTCTCTGGAATAAGGGTTTAACCAAAATATAAAAGTTGTCTGATAAAATTACCCAGTAGGTCTGGGCATGGTGGCTCATGCCTGTAATCCCAACACTTTGGGAGGCCGAGGCGGGCAGATCACTTGAGGTCAGAAGTTCAAAACCGGCCTGGCCAACATGGTGAAACCCCACCTCTACTGAAAATACAAAAACAAAATTAGCCAGACATGGTGGTGCATGCTTGTGATCCCAGCTACTTGGGAGGCTGAGGCAGGAGAATTGCTTGAACCCTGGAGGCAGATGTGGTGGTGAGCCAAGATCACACCACTGCACTCTAGCCTGGGTGACAGAGCGAGACTCCATCTCAAAAAAAAAAAAAAAAAAAAAATACCCAATAGAACTTCTGTATTTTAGTAGGGGAAGCTGTGTTGGAAAAAGATAACTCATGATGATTGTATACTGTTATGCCAAAAAGAGGCAGGAAATGTTATCCTCAAAGAGAAGAAAATGGTGATTCCATTTGTGGACTAATACAGTGACTGTAAGATAAGACATTCTCAAGAAATGAGAGGGTTGCCTTCACCTGTTAGTTTCAGAAATGAAATGTACTTTATCCTATGTAAGCATTGAGAACTCTAACCTCTTTTTCTTTCTTTAGATCTTAATAGTAGGCTACAGGACCATGTTCCAACTTATACTTTGTTGTTAAATTTTATTGTGTTTAATTATTTTTAAATCGTATAATTTTTTTTCTTAGTAAACTTTGTTCTTCGAAATATGTTTAAATTAGACTAAGACACGAGGAAGTATTTATGAGGAATTAGTTATTGGTCATCACTTCTAATTCCTGATGATAACATGAGATATTTCACATTGTATGTCCCAGTTTTAGTTTTTCCATGTTTGTTTATAAATATGTCCAAGAGGGTTTTTCTTCTGTTGAAATTTAAGTTTTCCTCAGGATTGCTTCACTTAAAACATCAAAGTGAAAAAAGTTGTACTTATGTTCTAAAACTTGTATTATTTAGGCCTATTGAAGCAAAAGTCAGGATATCACAAATCTGCAAGATGTCAGAGCTAAATCCTACATTTTTCAGAATGATGGGATCATAAGTCCCATTTCATTTTTATGATTTGGCTTCTACGTTGTGAGTATTTCAGTATCTCTCCCATGCCAAAACACAAAATCACACACCCATGCACTCCAATTTGTTTCTTACTTTGGTAATTTGTGACTACATATTGACACTGACCTAGAAATGTTTCTGTTGCTGTTTTAAATCTCATGTCAGTGAAGAAGAAATTGAAATCTGGTTTGCACATTTGTGCCTGGTTTTCTGTAATTGTCTAAAATCTGACATTGTCCCAGAAACGCTGATTGGGAAGTTATGAGGCAGTATTGTGCCCAAGACTGATTTTAATAGTTTTTAGGAGAGAAAAAGTAGTCACTCTAGACTATTTTCCATGTTTTTCTATACCTCAAAAAGTTAAACTCAGTTTAACCCAACTTTATACCATACAAGTAATAATAGCCTTAGCTCTGAGCCTAAATAAAATTTGCCAAATAAAAATGATACTTATGATCCATTTCCACATATTCCTCATGAGAGCTTGGTCAAGTCCTCAGAAGCAGCATTGTGTTCCGATATATCTTTATCAAACTGTGTGCTCAGCAACAAGGACAGGAGAGAACACTCTGCTTCTTTAATTTTAACACCTTGCTGATTGAAAAACATTTAACAGGCGTTTGAAAAGAATTTCAAAACAATTAACATTTTTTTCTAATTATACATTTAAAGAAATAATGCCCTTTAAAATGTAGGTAGAATTTTTTTATTAACATGATTTTAATTTATAGCAACCATTTGTTACCTAATCACAGTAACACAACAAAATAATTAGTGTATCAGCTTTGAAGATCTCATTTCACAAAAGCTAAAAAACACACGTTATGATATATCCATTACTCAAACTCATAAGCACTTCCTTTTGCATGCATTGGGCACAGATTTCATGGAAAATCAAAAGCATTTAATCTACTTTCTGACATTTTCATCTGTTCTTTGAACTACTTTAATTAAAAAAAATTGTCCTTATATAGGGTCAAGTGACGTTTGTTTGTCTGAAAATTTCCTTGGATCAGCTTATTTCTGTGTAACATGTCTTTGTTATACAGCTATTTGCCTTTTAAACTAATTTCTAACAGGATACTCTACCTTGGGACTTGTAACACAATGTAAGCTTATAAAATCCACATGAAAAATAGTAAGTAATGGGGAGACCACCGGGTTTCTCAGCCTTTACAAACAATTTGACTTAAAGATTTATGAAATATTCATTTCTACCAACTTCATTTATAATGCTGTAATGAGTTGAGTTTCTGTTTCTATGAAGTAAAAGACAATAAATGCTGCTGGTATCTGTGCTTCTAATGGTGGTTAAACATAAAACTTTGATCTTATAAACACAGCTGTTGTCCTATAATTGAGCCAAATTCAGACAGGATTAAACCCTGGCCAAAATTAAGGTTAATCTTTGCAACCATCTCAAGTAAGAGCTTTCTAATACTGTTTTAGGAAATCTTTGTTTTTGAGACAGCATAAAAGGAAGTAAGTTCCAGACAACTGACCTCTAAAGTAAGCCAGACGCAACTAATGATAAATTATACCATAGTGATAAAGAAGATGGAAAGGTGGAAACTGCATAACCAAATAAGTTCATTTTGGTTCATTTTGACTTAGAAAGTCACTTCTTACCATAGTAGTCTTAGTTGACATTAAGTTTAAATCAGACCAATATAAGTTACTTTTTAATGAACTTCTTTCTACCATCTTAATGTTTCTTTGGTTAATTGCTAGTACTTTCTTCCACTAATAATAAAACTAGGTGTTTATTACAAATAGAATAACTTGATATATTTTATTGTAACTGTGTAATAGCTCATTTTGTTTTCCAGCCTACAAAAAAAAAAAAATATGTCATTAAGTATTAGACTTTCTGGAATTTTAAATACTTCGCCAAATGTTCTGTAGGGCTGATTCTCCTGAGATTTGGACACTAGCACCTCAAGCTGTGTTGTGAACAGCTAATAATGCATTTCTCTCCAAATTGCCTATTCCAAGAGAACATCTGTGGTAGTACCCCTCACCTGAAATCTGTAGAGCTCTAATATTGGATTGGCTAATACGATTTTCCTGGCACTTGATTTTGAGCAAGTACAGGATGTGGTT